ACAGTGCGATTGGCACAGGACAGAGCGGAGTTTAGGGCTGTTGTACATAGGGTCGCTATGAGTCGCAGGTGACTCGACGGCACATATCAACAACATGATATTAATGAGGTTGTTCAAAAATTTCCATATTCTTTTGGATCATCTTTCTTGGAAAGGGGAATTTGTCCAGGTAGCTGTCTTCCAAATTTCTTGGCACAAATGGGCGACCACATTCTGGGATACCTCTATTAGTTGAAATATATCAATTGATATTGCATCGATTCTTAGGGCCTTATTTTTTTCAATAGAGCTTTAACTTCTTTTCTCATCATCATTGGCTCTTTATCATATGCTTTTGTTACTGTTTATCATAGAGTCTAAATCGACCCATAGCTGACCCTTCAGCAAGGTTTCAGAGGCAGTTAATTGCATGGGAAGAAATTGCCTATCCTTCAACGAAACAGCTGGTGCATTCAAACTGCATGGCTTTGGGATTGCAATGCAGTTTTTTACCACTAAGCCACAAGAACTCCCTGAAATCTTTCAGTGTTGTCAAATTCTTTTTGGTACAATAACTCTGTGTATTCTCTCCATCTTCTTTTCCTGAATCGTTCAAGATTTTTCCCTTCGAGTCTTTCAGTATTGCAACTTGTGTCTTGAATTTAAGTTCTCTGTTGTTGTTGCTGCTGTTATTGTTGTTGTTGTTCAGTGCCATCAAGTCATAGACAACTCATAACGACCCTGTGAATGAAAGACCTGAGCACTGTTTCCTGAGGCAATCCATTTGGGAAGTGGATGCCACTCCTGCTTCCAAGCTTGTTTTAAGTGGGAAGCTCCACCAAACACTGTCCACAACTTTCAAACTTTTTTATTCTTCCAACTACAGTTTCATTGCCTATTTCATGATAATATTTTGCCTTGTCCTCTTGAGTTGTCTTTTGAAATTTTTTTGTTCAGCTCTTTTATGTCAGCATCTTTTCCCTTTGTTTTGGCTTCTCAATGTCCTAGTGCAATTTTTAGAGTCTCTCCTGGTACCTATTTTAGCCTTTTCTCCCTTCTATATTTATAATGACCTTCTGTTCTCTTCATGGATGATATTTTTTATGTTCCTGCAACTCACTTGGTCTTTGATCATTAGTGTTCAGTGCCTCAAACCTATTCTTCAGATGATTTTTAAACTCAAGTGGGATAGACCCAACATCATATTTTGGTTCTGTGAACTTGCTTTCATTTTCTTCAGTCTCAATTTGTACTTGTACATGGATAATTTATGGTCTGTCCCACAGTCAGCACCTGGTCTGATTTTGACTTCTTACACTGAGCTTCTCCAAGTATTCTTTACACGACTGTAGTGAATCTGACTCCTGTGCAACTTGACATCACTTGACGTCAAGTGAGGTCAATGCATAAAATCATTGTCATTTTTAAACAAAGGTGTTTGCAGTGAATAAATTACTGAAAATACAAACTTTACTTATTCCATGTCCAGTATAATTTCTGTCCGCAAGTCTTTAATTTCCAGTTATTATTTTTCCTCATTGCTTCCAACTTTTGCATTCCAGTCACCAATTATTATTAATGCATCTTCAGTGCATGTTTGGTCAATTTTGGATTGTAAAAGTAGGTAGAATTCCTCTATTTCTTCATCTTTGGCTTTAGCTATTCGTGTGTGTATTTTAATAACAGTTGATTTGACAGATCTTCCTTGTATGTATATCAATAATATCCTATCACTCACAGTATTACACTTAATGATAGATTTTTCAAGTTTTTTTAATTATGAGGTGTATTATCATTCTTCTTCAACTTTTCATTCCTGGTAAAGTAGATCATATGATTACATGATTTGAAATAGCCAGTTCCAGTGCATTTTGGTTCATTAATATTTAAAATGTTTATGTGCTTCATTTCTTTACAACTTTCAGTTCTATATTCAAACCTTGTACAGTCCATGTTCTCATTATTAGTGGATGGATACTTATTGTTGTTTTCCCTCTTTTTTTAGTGACTTCTCATATGGTGTTTACCTGTCATAAAAGATGAGCTCCCCACGTTCCTCTATTATTCATAGGATTTTTGAAACCTGTTACTTCAAAAATGCATGACCAATCCTGCTTAGCAGTCTGTGTTAGGTGCTGTCAAGTCAGCACTACGATACTAGTAAAATAGACCTAGCAAACCTATGACAACAGGAAAGCATCATATCAGGATCAGTTTCTACACCACCCACACAATCTTTTTGTGCCCAAACCCACTGTTGCCATAACTGAGTCAATTCCTTTAGTATAATATCTTCCTTTTTTCCAAATAGATGTCTTTGTCCAGGGATTGGTAACTCCTATTAATACATACAAAGTATGTGAGACTAAGCAGCAGCAGCCTTGTTTCTTTTTTTTTTACAGCATTTTCTTCTCATTTAATTTTTTTTCTCATTCATTCATTTTTGCACATTTTCCTCAATGCTCACCCCTCCCCCAGTTCACTTTTCTCTTTGAAAAGAAAAAAAATCTTTCATTGTTATACAATCTCCCTTTCTCACAACTCCACAGTCCACTTACTATGCATTTCTTTCTCTGGAATCTTGTCATGAAAATAATGCCTAATCATATATTCCTTTTCAATAGTTCTCTCCCTCATCTGTTTCAATTAAATATACATTATTATTTATCCCCTCTTTGCTTAGGTTCCCCCAACCCCGATGTCAGTCCCATTTTACAACAGTAGCATGATGCAGTATTTGTCCTTTTATGACTGAGATATTTCACACAGCATAATGTCTTCCATGGTCGCCAATTTAATTCATAAGTTCCTAGTTTTTCAAGTCAGCATAGTATGCCATTGTGTGAATATACCACAGCTTCTCTATCCATTTGTTTGCTGATGACACTTGGGTTGTTTCCAACTCTTTGCTATTGTAAACAAAGCATCAATACATATGGGTGTGCATATATCTACTTGGGTAGCAGTTTTGAATTCTTTAGGGTATATTCCTAGTAGTAGAATTGCTGGGTCAAATGGTATTTCTATTTGCAACTTTTTGAGAAAGTGCCATACTGCCTTACGTAGTGTTTGCATTATTTAACACTCCACCAACAGTGAATACAGTTTTGGTTTCTCCACAATCTCACCAGCATTTATTGTTGACAGCATGGTACTGGTACAATGACAGACACATAGATCAATGGAATAGAATTAAACCCCCAGAAATCAGCCCATCTACCTATGGTTAACTGGTTTTTGACAAGAAGATGAAATCAGTTATGTGGGGAAAAGACAGCCTTTTAAACAAATGTTGTTGGTAAAATTGGAAAACTATCTGTAAAAACTCAAGCAAGATCCACACCTCACTCAAAAAAAAAAAAAAAAAAACCAAAGAAACAACCCTCAAAGTGGATCAAGGACCTAGGACTAAAATCAAGGACTATAAACTTCATTACAGAAAAGCTTGGAAGAGCTCTAAAAGTCCTAATCCACAGCATGAACAGTCTTCCAAACATCCTGAAAAACCTACAAATAAAATACATGAAATAGATAAATTGACCTTCTAAGAATCAAATCCCTATGCACATCCAAAAATTTCTCCAACAAGATAAAAACTTAAGTATAAAATAGATAAAATGGAACTTCTAAGAATCAAATCCCTATGCACATCTGCACAGCTAAAAACTTTTCCAACACGGTAAAAAGAGAAGCCACAAATTGGGAAAAATATTTGGCAATTACATGTCTGATAAGGGACATGTATCTAGAATTTATAGAATACTCAAGCGCCACTACAAGATAAAAGTAAACAACCCAATTGCAAAATGGGCACAGGATATGAACACTTCACCAGACTCGCAGATGGCAAACAAACACATGAAAATCCCTAGCTCTAAGATATGCAAATCAAAACAACTATGAGAGATCTTGTGATGATTTTTTTTATCTCTTTATAATACCAATTCTTTCTTCCATGTTTTGCATTTCTTCTGTATTTTTGCGCGTTACTCCTCATCAATATATTTCTTCTGGCTCTGTGTCTCTGGATAATTTGCTTTCTTGGTGTTTTCCATTGTTTCTTCCATCACTTGCACCTTCTTCCATTGTTGTTGTTATTGTGTATCACCGAGTCAGAACTAACTCTTTGCAGACCGTCCAGCGGGTTTCCAGAGGCACTTAATCTCATGGGAGGAGATTGCTCATGGGAGAAGGATTTCTCCTGCTGAGCAGCTGGTGGCCTTGAACTCAGTGCCCTCAGGATTGCAGCACAGCTTCTTGCCACTAGGCCACTAGAGCTAATAACTCTTCATCAATTTATTTATTTTGGTCTCTCCCTCTATGTTATTCCCTTTATCTATGGCTTCAATTTTTTCTTCCATTATTTTTACTTTTATTCATAGACATTTGAAGGTCTCCATATCAACCTATATCATCTGCCTTTTTGACTCTGGGTTATTAATGAGGTGGCTGATATTCTCTGGATGTTTTTCCCTTTTTTTTTTTGTTTTGGAGAAGGCTTAATTTGTTTTTCACAGCGTTTGAAGCCACTTATTGCTTTCTTGGCATTATGGGGAGTTTTCTTGATAAGTATTATGTTGTTTCTATTGTGGTTGTGAAATTTGTTGGTAGTTCTTGCCTTTCTAATGTTACTAATTAGTTGTCAAGTTAAAATGTTGCAAAGTATCCACTCCACCATAAGCCCTTTCTGGGAAAATAGGTCTGTCCTATAGTCCTTGATGTTCTCTCTATTCTGCACTTCAGCCCTGTAGGTATCTCACCTTGAAGTAGCCTTCTGATATCTACTCTGTAGATCTCCTTCATATGAAGTGGTTGAGTGGTGTGAAACCAGGTGCTCTACTCAAGCAGTTTCTCATGTACCTTTTCTCGAAGAGCTTAATGTCTTCCTTTGTCTCTAAGTGGCATGAGATTAGAAATCAGGGCTGCCAACTCAAGCAGCTTGCATGCAGAGGGTCTCACATCAGCCCTCCCTCTCTTTCACAGAGAGCTACAAAAGTCCTTTCACTCTGCCTGAAGTTCTGTGTACTAATATCTCCTGTCCTGTTTGTCCCCTGGGTTGGTCCTGCAGCCACAGAAGCAAGGACCCCCTGATGAAAGGACCTTCAACCTCAGGATGTCTCAGTCCCGTCTCTCCATAAGCAATCAAGAGTGTTCACTCCCAGCACAGAGCCCTCACCTCTTCTGACCTTTTCTCCTGTGTCTTGGTGTCCTCCTTTTTCTGTGGTGTAGTGGGAGCCATATATTAGTTTTCAAAGTGGCTTCCTTGTTCTTTATCATTTCTAAGTGTCCCTTGGCAATAGATTTGTCCAATGCTATAGATAATTTGATTGCTGGCTGTTTTTTACTGGTTGTTGATTGTGGATCCAAGTAAAGCAAAATCCTTGACAACATAAATTATTTTAATATTTCAATATGTTTATTGGTGGAGCTTTGAAAATTTTTTGCATAGAATAATATGGAAATTATTTATACCAATATGTGAGAGGTAGATTTGAAAAAAGGAAATATATTATAAAATTGAGGTGGGAAAATATCAGAATACATTTTATGCAACGTTGTGTATTCTCTAACCTGGTTTTGCATCAGAGAGCTCTGGTATCATAGTCAGTAGGTGTTGTGCTGCTATGCCAACGACCAAATGTCTCTGTAATTCCAATCAACAAGCTACTCTGTGGGAGAAAGAGGATTAATTATGTGCAAAGTACAGCCTTGGAAATTCACTAGAGGCTCTTCTTATGAATCTAGCCCAAATAAGCAGCATTGAGACAGAGAAAGAATGAGCAAGAGAGAGAATATGTGTTTTTGTGTCAAATGTTTACATGTAAATACAATCTGTGCTTTCTGTTGATAGATGCTGTATTTTTGGACTCAAGGAAACTCTCTCTCTCTCTCTCTCTCTCTCTCTCTCTCTCT